TCATGGACACTAAGTGGTAGAGGTTTATGATGGAGCCACGTTTGATATAAGCTGCTACACTACAACTTCTCTGCCAAAAGCCCACCTCCGCTCACTGGAGGATTCACTTGCAATTAAGCAATTTGAAGTTACAGTAGTTCTGTGACATAAGTCATAGCCTACACACCAACATAAATGACTGCCTTTACATTCACTTTTCTTCCACTGGCAGGGAAAGGGCTGCATTCAAAAAGACAGTTCTTAAATTCAAACTATTTGGCGGCAGCCAATAGCAGCTTCCTAAATAACACAGGAAAAAAAGTGTTCTTACATTAATGTGTTCTGAACTGGGCATTTAAAGAATAGCAGAAATAATTCTAAGCGAACAGAAAAGTGTAGCAGAAGTGATTTTCACTTAAAAGTTTTGTAAGCGATGCGTTACATTGGCCTTTCAGAAAATAAAATCAAATTGAAGTGTTAGTCAGTTTAATGCTGTGTTGTGCTGTAATTTGTGTTTCAGAAAGATCAGTGCAGTGCTTAGGGGTACACAGATTCCTCTGAATGCACACTCGGTCACTCTCAGCTCCTTTAGGGACAGCCTATGCCTCTTAGATGGGAGCAGAGTATTTGACTTTTCAAATCAGTGACAAATTATGTTTTTCTGATTTAGATTCTATTTTCAGCCTGGTATTGGATACAAGTCAAAATAGAACTGGAGCAAAACTGAAAATTGCTGCAAGGAACTAGAATTCAGTAACATACTAAACTGCACTTTTAAAGACTCAATCTATGCCAACTGGTGCCAGGATACTGTTCTCCTATAGTAGAGCTCCTAAGGGCAGAAAATATTATTTTGATAATGAATAGCATATAATATCATGTTCTCTACTTATAATTAATCAAAATGTATGTCTTTGTGGGTGTAAAATTCATCCTTTAAAATGGAACTCAATAACAAAGCTGGAATCAAAAGGAGAATGTATCATTAAATTTGATTGTGATGTACATATAATTACCACGTTATTTCTTAAAAACAAGGTCATAAATCAATGTCCCTATTAAGTTCCCAACATTTTATTATTTATCTCCAATAAACTGAACCCAGCCTGGTGACAAGGGCAACTGTTTGTTTTGGGAGCAGCTGGATCTGGCTCCAGATTTCTCTGATCAGAGTGCATAACCAAAGACCATTCGACAGCGGTTCAGATGAAGGAGGACAGAGGGACATCTGTGTTCTGTCAGGAACATGATTTAGGAACATGTTAGAATGCTTAGGAGCTGCCTTCACAATTACTCAGCCCTGTGGGAACATCACAGGGATCAAAGGCTGTGAGAGGGCAGGGACAGTCACGGGGCAATCTGCAGGGAGCACGGTTGCCAGGACCTTGTGAGCCGATGGAGCCACAAGAGCTGTGTGCAGAGCCCAGAGTTTAATGCGCTGGGCAGCAAAGTTTGGTCCCGCCAACCATCATCGTCACACCCAGGTGCTGAGCACAGCTCCCCAGCCCCATGGAAGGCTGTGCCTCCACCCTTCTGATGCCAGGGCACTTGGCTACACAGCAAACTGTGGGAGGCAGCAGGGCAGCAGCTTGGTGAGATGTTCAGCACATGCACAGTTAGTTTGCTGAGTGAAGCTGAGACAAAAGAGCTGCCTCTCCTTGCATTGTGGCTGCTCTGCCTCCCTGCCTGGTGCACCCTGCTTCCCCAGCACAGCTTACTCACAAATGCCAGCGGTGGGGTGTGGATGGAAGTCTCACCACACACTTTTCCCCAAAATACAGAGCTGTTTCGGTGGGACGTGAGCCCTATCATCCTTCTAGCTCTGGGACTCAGAAAAGAGGGGGCTTGCAGTGAGCACATTCCAGATAAACAGTAGCAATCCTTCACCCATCCAGGCATGTCAAGGAACATTTACAAACCCACAGGAACATAAAATGAACCCGTGCCGAAAGAGGGATCGGGTGCCTACATCCTCTAGTGTAACCACTGCAGGGAAAAAATCTCCAATAATCAATATAAGAGAAAAGGTGGAATATCATGCCTGCTGGAAAGTGCTAGAAGCTGTTGTCCGGGAGCAAGGAGAATGGGGTGGATTCAGTGCTGCAACACAGTAAGGCTCACTTTTTGATATTTTTCCACAGTTCCACAAAAAGTAATGTTTGTGCAAAGTCATACTCAGCTAAAATTGAGATTACAAGATTGCAAGTGATTAAAAAATGCAGTAACTTGTTTTCACTGTATTTTAGTGTAATAAATCTTGAATATCTCATTACTGCATTTCTTTGTACAGAATCTGGTACAATTGACAGTACAGCTGTACTAACTCATGAATGAATTGCACAGGAGAAACATTTCGTACACATTTTTGCACTACCACTCCTAAGATGAAGCCTTCTTGCTGCTCTGCCCTACAGACACCCCTCTTGGGTGCCCAAAGCTCTTTTTCCCCTTGGATGCACCTTCCCATTCTGTTCAATGCTCTCCACATCCCCAGAGAAGCTCTCAGTAGCTCCTGGTACCACTTAGAACTCTCTGCATGGTACAGTAGTATTAAATACACACACAGAATTTTTCTTCAGTGAAAACACAAAACAATGTTTCACTGAGTGTTCAATCCTAGTCATTGCTGAAGGGAAGCACAAAAATCTACAGCTAAGTATAAACATCAGGAACCTGTAGCATCCTTCAACTTTGGAAGCTGGAAGGAGGACAAAGAACTGCTGCTTTCATGTTTGAAGAGACAATGTTAAACCTTCCAGGCTAGATACACATCTGTATACAGGCTAGTATAGACATCTGTATGCACACAGATATGTTTATATACTTAACAGAGACCCCCATCTATAGTAGAATGGAATGAAGATCTATCTACATCTATAAAAAAGTATTAGAGCTTTTTGTTTAGAAAGAACATCTGCCAGTGCTCCCTTTAAACTTGCCTTCTAATTTAACAAACAACATAAATGAATCCTATTAAATCAAAGTGGGTTTTTTTTACTTCTAATTAAAGTTATTCCTGATTTATATCAGTAGATGTGAAAAAATAATCAGATCCAAAGTGTTAGACATATGGCAATTTGACTTGTTGCATGAAGGCATATATTCAGTATCACAGAGCTCAGTAAGAAAGCACCAAAATAACAAAGCATCTGAACAGTGGTTTCTCTGAGTGAAAAATAAAAAGGCAGGGGACTTGGTTCTTTCCCTAAACCAAGACTAGGACAAGAAGACTTCTTTGACTTAATGACATTAATTTATGCCAAACTGAGTAAGATGGGAATGAAGCTGTAGTTAGGATGCCAAGATAAAAAGGGAAATTTTAAGTAATGTGTATCACATTAAGATTCTTAAATAACCTATTTTTTAGCAACAAGGGTTGCTGTAATTACCTCCCAGGGAAACCATGAAAGCTGTTGTTTGGGACATCAAAACCATGTTAGATGAAATTTTTGCAATCTTAAGCAAAATTTCTCTGCAAGCAGGGAAGAAAGAGGACTTGGATCTATCAGAGTTTTATTCATGTCTTAATTCAAGGAATGTGTTTATTTTGAAAACAAATTCAACAACTTATATGTAAAACTGTAATTGTCTCTTATAGCAACATAACACAGGAAATAACAGTCAAAGCTTAGAAAACACAAATACTAAGGTTATCTCAAAATGCTGCGCTGATCTACTTCTGAATACTTCAAATATTTGGGGTAACATATGCTCTAATTATACCATTGCCTTACTATCAAATTAAATAGCTTCTCTTTTTTTAATATACTAAAACAAGACAGGTCACCTGAAATATCATCTATTAATATCAGCATTACAAGACCAGATTCCCAGTGGAGAGGGAAAAAAAATCAATGGGAAAGAAAAGTCTTAACTGCAGCTGGATGACTATTAGCTATTTAATGCACTAAAACTTCTCCCATTAAACACCCTATCAACTCCTGTCCAGCACTTAAACTCCAAACAGAAAAGAGTATATTAAAACCAATGAAAACTGAGAGTTGATGGTGATGAGACTCATAAGGAATTTCCAGAGCTGCCTAGTAATATGAAAAAAGATGATCTGATGGCACAATAGCAGATACAGTTGCCCTGCACATTACACTACTTGTTGCCATTAATGTTTCATGCTTTAATACATTAAACTATCTCAGAGCCCAAACAAACATTCAGTTGCAGCTGAAACTTCAGGAGGAAATTTTAGCAGTGATCACAGACGTATGTACAGGAGCATAGCACAATCATAACAAAAAGGCTGGAGAAAAACCTTCTTTTTTACACTAATCTACAACACTGATTACAGTGTTGAGAGACACTGCTTTCAGTCTTACCAGCATATGTTACAGGCTCTACCTGAATTCGCTCCTGATGTTAACAGCACACAGACAATGGGTCCCTGACTCTCAACTACAGGTGCAGCTATCTAGGCAATCATTAAGTCGTGGATTTCAAATTCTGCTTTAAAGAAACTGACCTGTCAGTAATGTCTGCGCATCCAGGAGGCACAGGGAAATCTGTTGCTGAAATATTTCCGAACACATAGCCGGAACTTAGTTTTGTTTTACCCTATTCAGTACAGAGAAGCCCTACAAATGTAAGAAGTTCACATTCCCTCACTGTTCAGGAACAACGTGCACGCCATGCATCACACAGATGTAACTTTTTATATAATAAAAAAATAAGAAAAAAACCGGTCGCTAGTACCAGTGATAAGCACTTTATTGCTCTGATTTTATTCAAAGAGGGACTCGGCAGAAACGATAAACCCAGCCAAAGCGGCAGCTGCGCCTAAGCGTGACTCCCGACCCGATTTCCAGCACCGGGCCGCCGGGAGCGGCACTCCCGCAGGTCCGCGGGGCTGGCAGCCGGCATCCGGAGCGGGCACGGAGAGGCAGCGGGCTCCAGCCACCCGGCGGGACCACCCGGGAGGGGGGCGCGGGCACCGCCGCCTCTCTCCCGACAGGGACCCGAGCCCCGGGGCAGCGGCGGGGGCGGGGGCCGGGCGCGGGGCACTCACTCACCGCGGGGGCCGTCAGCCGGCGGATGCTCTCGCCCAGCGAGTCCAGGTTGACCCGCCGGCGGCGCGGTGCGCGGCGCGCCCCGGCGCTGGCCGCGGCGGCGGCGGCGAAGGGGATGTCAGCGGGGCCGGGGGGGCTGCGGCTGCCGTTCCAGCAGAGGCGGGACAGGGGACACTCGCCCTCCTCCTCGGGGCTCGTCTCCGGGCAGTCCGAGCCCAGCGAGCTGAAGGACTCTGACGAGATCTTGCGGCGGGACATGGTGCCGCGGGCGGGCCGGCGGCGGGCTCAGCGCGGGGCGGCGGGCAGCCGCGGCGGGCAGCGCCGAGCTGGGCGGGCGCGGGGGCGGCCGCCTCGCATGGCCGCGGGTGCCCCTGGGCGGGCGGGAGGCAGCGGCGGAGCCGCCGCGCCGGGGCCAGCGCAGACCGCGGCGCTGCCCCGCTCCGCGGCTCTCCGCGCCGGTTCGGGAGCGCGGGTGCCGCGCCGCGCCGCGCCGGGAGCCTTTAAAGCGGCGGCGGCGGCTACCGCGGTGGCTGCTGCCCTCCTCTGCCTCGGCCGCCCGCCCCGCTCTCCCCTCCCCCGGCTCCCTCGCTGCTCCGCGGGGATCACGTGTTGTTTGGAGCCCTTTCCCCCTCCTCCTCCTCCACCTCCTCCCGCCTCCCCCGCCCCGCTCGCCGCCTGTCGCGCTCGGCCCCGCTCCCCGCGGCCCCGCTGCCCCGCGCCGCGGAGATGCCCCCGGCGCCCGGCGGGGCGGGCCGAGGGCAGGGCCGAGGGCAGGGCCGGCGCGCAGCCGCTGCCGGCTGCCGGGAGGGCGGCAAGGCGCTCCGCTCTGCGCTTTGGAGCTTTGGAGCTGGGCTGGGGGAAGCGGGGAGGTGGCCCGGTACCCGCGCACGGCTCCGCGGGGAGCGGCGGTGCCAGCGCGGAGAATGGGGACGATCCCGGGGCCCTCCCGTGGCTGCCGCCCCGCCGCCGCCGCCGCCGCCAGTCCCGCCGCGGTGCTGGACAGCTCCCTGGCAGCTCCAGCGGCCGGGAAAGCCGGTACGCGCTCCCTGCCAGCCCTCCCCGCCAGAGAACTTTTGAAATGACGTTAGGGAAGCTGAAGCTTAAGAAATAAATAATTTTAAAAACTGGGGAGAGAGGATGCCGGCCATCTGCTTTCAGAATCAAAAGCTGTCGTCTTTGTGCAAGCACTGCTCCCGTTAACACTGTAGGTCGTGTCCAAAACTGCAAAGAAACTAAATTCATTCCCACGCTACAGTCCTGGCAATGGGAGAAAGGACTGGGCTAAGAGAGATGACCAAAGCAGAGGAGCTTCGATCCCGGATGGCACACAAGGTGTCTTCTTCCCAACTTTCCCGACCCATGCTGTCAGTTTAAAGACACCTTTCGAGATTCATTACAATAGTGATAACCCCATGTATTTCTCCTCAGCAAAAATGCTCCAAGGAAATGTGATCTCAGCTGAAGTGGTTCGTCCTACCATCAATGAAGACAGCTTGTCATTACTTTCCCTTTGTTCAAAAAAACCTTATTTTAAAAAGAAATTATTTTTAGGTAGTTTTTACTCTACCTTTTCACTGTATTATGACATGTTTTACAACCTTATCCTTTTAAATGTCTGAATGCAGCCTAAACAAGGACTTACTGAAGAAACTAGGGAGATTTCCACAGTGTGAAGGAGCTTTTGAGCATGGCCCTAGGCAGCACAAGCCAGTGTCTGCTCTCAGAGGGGGCACAGGTCTATGGCTGAACATGCTGCTTTTAACTGGGGCACCACAACCTTTGCCAGGACATTGCTTTCAGTGTGCCATCCTTGTTTCCCTTGACTCACAGAGTCTTTTTTTTTTTTTTTCTTAATAGAAATAGATATAGAGTCTGATGACTGGAGCCTGTGGCTTGAAAGGATGTCTAGTACAGCCAGAGTGTTCCATAGTACCTTCTGTTGCCATGGGAAGTGTTACATTTGGGATGCACAGACTTTTTTTTTTGCAGTGCTGGTGATTCCCTCAGCAGCCCTAGGACATGAATCAGGCATGACTTCACATTCAAGTAATTCACACATGAACCTTCAAATCTGTTGTCCTTCTCTGTGTTTCCTTTTCACAGATTCTTTGAGATCGGCTGCACAAGCCCTTGCTGGCCCGCAGCCAAGCTCCCACCACTGGGGGGACTCAGGAACTAAGGGGTCTGAAAGGTGCCCTTTAGTGCTAAGCATCACCCCTAGCACAGGGTGCTCTGTGTTGAGATGTTAACATCCTTCACATGCTCCAGTTTCCATTAAATTTATTTCCTTCTCACAGACCATTTCATACAGTCCTCAGTGAAGTAAACTATCACTGGTTTCCTGGCTGATGCAGTGACAGTGACAACTGGGTAAGAGCCACATGGTTTAGCACAGAAAATGCAAATACATATTTATAAGTTCTAAACTGCAAAAATACCAAAGTGTCAACTGGTTCCATGTGCAACACTTCAGCTGTAGGGTAAGCAACTTGCTTGGAGGCATTTTGCATTTTATTCAGCACTAAGGAAGATGGTTTCAACATGACAAAAATGACACCTTTTAGGTCTTCAGTTTTCTCTTTTTCTTGAAGTTTAAAGGAGCACTTCCCAATGCAACTTATTGGTAGCATTTGACAGTGCTTGAGTTACCTTTGCAGCTTTAAAAATTACTTTTCTAATGCTCCTCATGGCCATATTCCTTTTATGTCTATAATATAGTGATCCTGAAGTGGAAAAGAAAATTCTCTGCCTCAGTGACTATTCCTGAGGTCAGGACATCATAACCAAATGTACTTGTACCAAACCAACTCTTTTGAAGAACATGAAGGACATTTTCCTTCAACGTCTAGATAGTGAAGTTCACAGCTCAGCAAAAAAAAATGCCATTAGGTTCTTCAAGTATATTTTTCTTCAGATGAAGCAGACCTTTGAGTAAACCCAGACCATGTTGGCTCGTCTGATTAGATACAACCTTTAAAGCTTGTGAAATTAAGCCTCATACCTGCCCAATACAGTGACTAAAGATATCAGTAGTGTGCATACTGCAACTCTGTTTGGGATTCATGATATGAAGTGCACAGAGCTGAATAGAGCAACCAGCTGGAAAACTACCAAACACCATCATAAGTTGTCTTTAGCTAAATGGAAATAGACAGCAGAAGATTCAAGATGATGCAGATCCCGGAGGTGAGTCTGGTGAGCAAACAAGTCATTCAGTCCCCAGTTAATTATTCTCATTTCATTTTTCTTGATCCAGACACAGCCTTGGCAAAAGCTAAATACCACAGGGGTTGCTTCATCTGGCAGTCAAATGCCTTTGAGAGCCCATAGAAATAGATATTTACAGCATATAAGAGAACAAATATTCTTCTTTTATACATGTCTCATCAGCCCCAACCTGTAGTTGGCACATTATCGGGTGAATAGCAGAATGTCTGTAAAATGAATAAGGTTCACTAAAAGAATGCCAATGCAACTTTTCTCTCATACTACAACAGAGTGCAATGTATGTGTCCCACATTACAGACATTTCAGAAAAAAATTTGAGTACTTTTAATTCTTTCACAATTTCTAATGCATAATTACTCTTCTCATTAGACAGCTGGCTGAACACGATCCAGAGTGTGCCCAGGTGGCCAAGAAGGCCGATGGCATCCTGGCCTGGATCAGCCAGGTGTGGCCAGCAGGAGCAGGGCAGTGACCGTCCCCCTGTACCCAGCACTGCTGAGGCCACAGCTCCAATGCTGTGCTCAGTTCTGGGCCCCTCAGTGCAAGAGAGACATTGAGGGGCTGGAGCGTGTCCAGGGAAGGGCAACGGAGCTGGGGAAGGCTCTGGAGCACAAGTGCTGTGAGGAGCAGCTGAGGGAGCTGGGGGTGTTCAGCCTGGAGAAAAGGAGGCTCAGGGGGACCTCATCACTCTCTGCAGCTGCCTGACAGGAGGGTGCAGCCAGGTGGGGTCAGCCTCTTCTGCCAGGCAGCAAGTGACAGGACAAGAGGAAACAGCTTCAAGCTGTGCCAGGAGAGATCCAGGCTGGACATCACGAAGATTGTTTTTCCATAGAAAGGGGGTTAAGTATTGGATTGGAGGTGATGGAGTAGTGCTGTGGTTTAGTTGACAAGGTTATGATCAGTCAAAGGTCAGACTTAATGATCTTAGAGGTCTTTCCCAACCTAAATGATTCTGTGTCTCTGTGATTCTAGGGAAAAGATTATGAAAATCGAAAATGTTTTCTCATTTTATATATCTTCACATTTTTGTCTTAGTGCTAATGAGCAAAATTCACAAAACTGACTTCAGTCCTGACAGAAAATGCATGGTCTTTAATTTCCATTATTTAGAGTGTGTTAGATTACTGTTAATTATTCATGATTTTTTATTTATTTGCTATTAACTGTGCATTTCTCATCAGACATATGCTGGAGTTTTGATATTATTTTTATTCACAAATGCTGTTTTTCTACAGCTCACACAGCCTTGGAAGATTAAAATAACAAAAACAACTTCATCATAGTGCATTGCATTGTCCTATCTGCCTTTGTTGAGAAAATGTTGGCTGTAAAGCTGCTAAAAGAAAGTATTTTAACTACCTAAAATACTTTCTTACCCTCTATTAGTTGCACATATCACATATATCATATACACAGTTCATATCATTTCACCTATTACATTATATGGCTTTTTATAATAATCTTTTTTATAGTACTGCTGAACCTATAAGTACTTAATTTTCCTTTAATACAAAAGATTGTTGTCATGGGATCAATGTGTCCCCACAGAGAAAGTAAACACCTGTTTTGCAAAGCATTTCTAAAGCAGCAGGAGACTGTTATCCTGTGACAACATTGTGTTACAATTACTTTATTGCAGTCGGGCAAAATGAATGATGGGCAGCGAATTTATTCTTCTTTCACATTCTGCCAAACCTTCCTGTTCTTTATCCAATGACTTCCATCTGGAGCAGTGCCTGGAAGGATGGCTGGGGCGTTCTGCCATTTGTCATTAATGATCTGTTGAATTACAGCTGGCTTGAAGAACAAATCAATTCTATATTTCAACTACTCAGAAATATAGTTTATGTGCAAAGTGCAGCAAATTCACATTGGTCTAAGTTGTTGTTCTAGTCATGAGGTTATGTTAGAGTCCAGCATGTTACTGAAGCAGTAATGAATCTGTTTTACACTGCAAGATGACATATTGTGTAATGAAAGCAGAAGAATCAGTGTCCTAATGCTCATAAAATATCTTTAATCTGTGACCC